CCTAATAAAATTTTAAGCAATGAGTATTTAAAAATTTTAGCGTACAAATATGTACGCTTTACGGTTTAAGGGATAATAAGTTAATATTTTCAATATGTAGCTTTATAGGCAATAAATTACAATTATATAATATATACAAAAAAGATAAAAATCTAAAAAACTATTTATTTATGAAACAAAGATTCTATTGTATTTTGTTATAACAAATATTCTTTATAATCTTATTTATTTACTGCTAACTTTAAGAGTAAATATTTAACTTATATAATTAAATATAAAAATATTGTAAATAGTACTTATATGCATATTACAAAATTGCTATTTAAAGAATAAGGAAAAAACAACATTAACTATTAGTACTTTACTATACTTTTTGTTAATAGATATGAAATTACTATACTACTAGTAGTACATTGTGATACTTTTTAATAGGAATGTAATTGGCTTGAGTAGCTTGGCTTGGCTTAAATATGTAGCTATAATTTAAGCTACAACTATTAATATAGTTTAAAATGTAACCAAGCTATGTTTAAGTCAAATAAATCTTAACTTAAATTTTGGCTTAAACTATGGCTTAAGCTGATTTAAGCTAGTTAAACTGTGGCTTAAACTAGTTATAAGCCATGGCTTAAGCTAATTAAACTATGGCTTAAAATTATAGTTTAATACACAAAAAAGACAAAGTTTTACTGAAATAAATAAAATTTATACAAATTGTTATTTGTATATATAACTACTAAAAATATTAATACATTATTTTTTATTCTAGATTTTAAATGATTTTATAAAAATATTATTGAATTTTAAATAGTCACTAAATCAAAAAATTCTGCCCAAATGTTTTAAGTTATAATTTTGTTTGAAGCTATAGCTAAAACTAGAAGCTAATAATTTTTTAGCTATAATTAAAATCCATAGCTTAAGTGGGTTTAAGCCATGGCTAAAACTAGAAGCCAATAATTTTTTAGCTAAAGTAGTCTTAAGCCATGGCTAAAACTAGAAGCTAATAATTTTTTGGCTATAATTTAAAGCCAAAGCTTAAGTAGTCTTAAGCCATAGCTAAACTAGAAGCTAATAATTTTTTAAGCTATAATTTAGTTATAGCTTGAGTATAGCTTTAGTTATAGTTTGGCTTAGTTTTAATTAGGCTTGGCTTAAATTTATGGCTAAAGCTGGCTACTAGTAGAGCTACTAACATCCCTAATTATGTTTATCCTAGTATTCAAATTAAAACTCAGCGAGCGATTCCCTACCAATCATGATCATAAATAGGCAAATTGTCGAATACGGTAATTTGACAATGATTAGCTACACGTGCCGCAAAGCGGCACTTGCTCATTCGACAATTTTTGCCCAATAATATATACTTATTTAACGTTGCTACTACCGTAAAACTCTGAAAATAAGCACCATATTTTTAATTAATGGAGGTGCTTATTTACTAGTTATTTGAAAAAAGATAACATGATTGATCAATCTTGTGACGCAATTTTAAAGTTTATTTGACGGTGCTTATTATTTACAGAACATAAATTTTTATTATGAGGGTACTTATTTACCGTAGGTGTTTATTTTCAGAGTTTTACGGTATTTATTTTTATTAAAGCTCAAAAAAATTTCGATATCCGATTATATGACCCAGATAATAGTATGCGCTGAAAAATAGAACCGAGTCGACCGGGTCACCCGGGTTACTCGGTCATTTGGGAATAATCCGGTTTGTGACCCTGTAATGATTTCGTAAATGGGTGGGTAACCCGGTGCTTAAATTTTTTACACCGGATACAAGCTATACATAATTTATAATATAAATACAAGCGATTTGGAGCACCAATAAAAAAAAAAATAAAAATAAAAATATTTAAGAATCGTTGAAATTTAAGAAAAAGTTGATATGAAAATTTAACAATACGTGGTGACAGTGAGATTCGAACTCACGCCCCATTGCTGAGACTGCGACCTGAACGCAGCGCCTTAGACCACTCGGCCATGTCACCTTGATAGTAGATAAAATGAAATCTTTTCTTTTTTTGATAATATCATAAATCAAATAAGGAAAAGATCTATTACAAGATGAGTTAATGTTATTGTCTCATGTTGCATATATCACACACTCTTTTTACTTTTTAATATACTGATTTACAAAACGGAGTTTGTCAAATTCAGACTAGTAGTTATTTTTGTAAAATATTACCTCTTAATACTGTATAAACTAATACAAATTACATCAAAACAGTAACAAAAAAAAAAACACATTTAACGTTAATGACTTTTGAAAGTGGATATATATATATATATATATATAATTAAATTATGACATCATTTATACTGATTAAAGTACATAACAAAAAATTTTGGTATTGCAAGATTCTATATCAATTTTTGTCAAGCTATATATAATAACTTCACCGATGACCTAACTTATCGAAACCTGTTTGTCGACGAATTTTTTGAATTAGAGCTCTACGCGTAAATTGCTCTCGTGCTAGTGTGCGAATATTCTAATTTAGATAATATGAAACAGATATTTATATATCAAAATTAAATATATACAATAAATTAAATCATTGGTTTCATAATTATGATCAGTACCTTCATATATGTATTCAAATCTATTCTCTCAGTGGATAAAGCTTTCCCTAAATAATAAATTGTATCTTCGATTGCATTATCTTCGGCCACCAATTCAAATAACCTAAAGGGGATATTTATTAAATACTAATAATGAATGAAATCTAAAATAAATAAATAGATAAATAAATTGCTCAACTGATTGTATACTATAGTCGTTCCACATAGGATATCATCAACCGAAACTTCTGGCATGTTTGTAACTTTCTCTATTAACTTATCAACTTCAGCCACTTTATTCTTTAAAATTTCAGTTTTTTCTTTTATTTTATTTTCTAAATTAAATAAATGTTCACGTTCCTGATTAATGCGTTCTTTGCTTGTATTTAGCTGTTCACCAAATCCCATTATTCTATGTATTTCTGGTGTCGATATTTCAAAGTATTCATTACAAGTATTTTTAACTTTTTCATAAACTGCAGATTGTAATTTTACCAGTTCAGGATTTTGCGTTGTTGGCAATGGTGCAGGCTGTGGGACAAAAAGTGGTGATGGTTCATCAAGTATGCTTGAAACAAGCTGTGAAGAATCTTCACCAGATAGGAACCTTGGTAATGAGTTAGAATGTTGTTGTGAAGGTGGCTGTTGTTGATAAATATGATTTTGTGACTTTTTATGTAGATTGTATAAAATATTAGTTAATATATATAAAACATATTAAATACAAAGTATTTGTGATGAATTGATGATCGAAGTTACCGGGAACATATACCGTGGATTTGGAGGGGGAACAGGTGCAGCTTGACTACGACTTCTCGGCCTACTGGCCGGTTTATTTGTTGCAACAGATTGATAAGGTGGAGGAGGCGGTAAAGGAGGTGGTGTTGGCGATTGTGGATGATACGCATGAAGAACTGGGGACTTTAAAGTATTCTGACCTCCATTGGTAGGTGGTTGATGTAATAATTGCGGAGCCGGTGAAGGTTGAGAAGTAGGTTTTGTGCATACAGGTGGGTTTTGGCTAAACACGCCTTGTAAAATTGTACATAATGTAACAATATTTGATTCCTTTGATATAAAAAAGTAAATATGAATATCAAGCCAGTAAACAATAAATATTCAAATAAGTTTAATAAATAATTACAAACCTCCTGTGGATTAATTCCCCAATGCTGCAAATATGTATGTTGACATCGACCACTCACATCAACAATTTTTGATGGTCTTACTAACATATTAGAAGTTGGAACCACGAGTACGATGGGTGCAGTCATAGGATATTCAGTTGGGATCCAAATGTCGATAGGAATGTTGTATGGTGTTGATTTGAAAGTAATTGGAATTGTTCCGTGAAGACATAACAAAGCTTTACTTTTGCCATCATCGTATGCTTGAAGGGAAAAGTATAAGGATCAATATGTCTATTGTTAGTTCCAAAGTCCAAACGAACTTGCTTTATATCAGAAAACTAGAAAACATTCGAAATTTTTTGATCTAGTGAAACGTATAATAGTACATAGAAGTATGACCATCCTATTTAATAAAGTAGCCTATATTACTTACTATAAGTATCTGTCTTTAAAGTCAACGATTTACCGAACATTGCTAGAGTGGCGTCAATGTCTCGAAATACTCGATCAGGATGTGCGTACTATAAGAATATAATTAAACACAAAGCTTTCCAGAAGAGTAGCAGTTGATACAAACTAATGCACTTACTTGAACTTTCTCCAAAGCATTGCGAAGCCATGTCCGTATTGAATGCAGATCTGTAGCCATTGAAAAAGTTATCATGGTTTATAAATTAAACCAGGTCCTTAAATTGTCACTATAAAATACACAAGTATAATATGTCACTTGACCTTACGTCATTAAGTAGATTATCAAAAAGAGGTGGTTGTGTCACAAAGTGATAAAAAAATTATTACTTTTATATAATCGTAAATTTTCTTTTTTTATGCTACTAGTAAAAGGTATTCTATTACGTCAACTCCCAAAGTTTTTGGAAGCTTTTTTGCGAGGTCGTGGTAGTTTTTAAATTGATTACAAATTTATAAATCGAAAATCACGTGATATATATAAATTACTATCTGGTCTCGCTCAAAATCTACCATTTTTTGAATTTCGATCAATATATCGAAGCCATTTTTTTGTTTGGGAAGATTATTAGACTTTTCAAGAAAATCAAGCGCCTAAAACATAAATTTAGTTTTTTTGTACTTTCTTAAAATTTCATTATCTATATTTTGGTTTCCTGAATTTACCAGATCGATCGTTAAATTGACTTGTGTAATTCTAATTCGTTAACTGTTTTTAACTGTGGGAAATATCTACATCTCAAGATCCATATACATATTGCTTTCTCCTTCAACATCCATAAGTTTTTCATAAACTATATAGCATTTCAAAACTTGATCCTCACGTTTCTGTTTTTTGCCTTCATTTACACGGGTTGTATCGACATGAACAAAAGTTGTGTACATTCTATTTCAGAAAATATTACGGTATTCGTATTATTATTCTTACATATAATTATTGTATTAATCATTAATTTTGGTGGAGGGGTCTACCGTAAATCGCCATATACAAGACCCTGCGTGACAAATAATGTAGATCAATTTTTAAAATAGTATTTATACATCAAGTGATGCGTAATGCACGTGATTTAAATTTTTTTCAATTGAAAAAAATTGCATCACACGGGTCTTGTATATGGCGATTTACGGTACAATTTTCGGGGAAATAAAATTTCGAGGTATATATACCGTAAATCGCCAGATACAAGACCCGGGTCTCTTACATTCCACCAATTTTAAAACCTATAATAGACCCCGGGTCTAGTATGCAGCCGAGAGCTCATGTCACTAAGAGGAAAACTTTGAAGAGTATGCATGCTTTGCATTTATAATAGACAATCCAAATATTTGAAAAAACCCATGTATGATTAATTGTCCAAAGGACATTACGGGAGAGTCATAGTAACCTGGATGTGTGTGTGTTCGCAAATTAAGGGTTTGATTGGTTGATCTAATAAAAACAAACATTTCTTCAAAAATACCCATTGTCAGACTGATCCGTGATAAGTCCTTCGGACCTTAAATGGCCTAGTATAGATCTTATAATACGCATCCGGATATACTACATGGTGGGTCTACTATCCAGGGGAGACCGTCCCATCAATTTGTAGATCGTTATACAATTGATAAAGGTTTTTTTATATTGTTTTACAATACTTTTTTAGAAAGCTTGGGTAACTTATCCTGCTATGAAACGTAGCAAAGTGCATTAAGCAAACCTGAAGTATTCAAACCGTTGTATAACATATTTCGTTAATCCCCGTTAATCCCACACCATTATTTTGCTATTTATTTACAAAAATATGTCTGGAAATAAGCAATGCATAGAATGTCAAACTACTGAATCGGTCAAATTTAGATCTTTAGGAGACAACAAGTGAAACGTAGCAGAGAATAAAGGTTTGGTAAAGGTAACATGGACAAAAGGTGATATTTTATGTAATAAATGTTATATGCAATTCATAGAAAATCACTTAAGAAAGGGCCATAAAGAAATAAAAGCCATAGTAAATGAAGAAAGTGTAGAGGAGGTAAGCGTAGTAGAAGAAGGATGCACGAAGATTGAACTCGCTAAAGCTATCAAGTTGATAGCAAAAATTTTTTATGAAAGAGAGCATGTAAAAAATAAGGATCCTATCTATGTATTTAATAAAATGCGAGAATTATTTCAAGAAACTGACCCAACTTTAAAAGATTTTTTTGATCAACTTTATTCTGCAGCTCAGCCACTTAAACGTAACAAGCAAACAAAGGACTGTATGAAAAAATTAATGGTGTTGATATATTATCTTCTTGGTTCTTTGAATAACATGAAAATTAATACCTTTAAGCTTGATTTTGCTTATTATTTAAATTCAGTAGGTACAACTAATAAGGGCCTAAACACAATAGCAAGTATTGGCGTATCTACAACAGCAAGAACTGTAGAACACAAAAAGAAACAAATGTCAGATATACATAGAAATTATGTAGAGAATACTCTTATAAGGTATTCAGAAAATGCATTTGTGTTGAATATTGACGATTATTATAACATTCATGTTTCAAGACAAACTGAGACTACAGAAACTTCTCGGCCAACACATATGGTGTCTATCTTATTAAATCCATGTTTTGCACTGGCAATCCTACGTAATAGAATAATCAATTCAAAGATCGTTGATGATGAATTGATTATAAAACATCTTGATGAGCGATTTATTGTAAACCTTGGGATTTTTTATTATAATCGCGGCCGTATGTGGGATGTTAGAAAAGAATACACCGACGATGAACTCTTAGATAGACTAACGCTACATAGTTATAATGACAGATTAGTGGAGAGAACAAGTGAATGCTATATTAAGAATACCATTCTCGTTGATTTTGTTGCAGGCAATTTGAAAACAACTAAAGATTATATGAAAGCTCTCCAAGTTGTTTATGACTACGAATCAATGCAGATGTATCTTTTCAATCATGCAATTTCCATTATCACAGACTGACCTGGACAATTTTTTATTCACAAAGCCATTGCGCAATGTATCCTTGCTAACAAAACGACTATTCCTCTGTTTGTGACTAATTTTTTGCTTATTATAGGTCCTCTTCATATATTTCTAAATGCTCGCAAACTTGTTTTTGAAAAAAATTCATTTTTTTTTAATAAAATCTATAAAGGTGTATTCGGAACAGGTAAGGATCTTGGTAAGACTCCACGTCCATGGAGAATCGATTTAATTCTTCATATTGTACGTGCGGCATGGTTGGATATAGCCGACACTGTTTATTTGAAGTTCGGTCATATGTGTAAAAATATAGAATTTTTATATTTGACTAATTTGCTAGGTAACTTGGTTCCTCTAGTTCTAGATATTTATGCTATGCACTATTGAGGAGGTAATTGGCCAGCCTATGAAGAAGCCTGCATGCGTTGTTGGAGTGATCTTTTTCTTTGATTTGATCGAAAGAACTATAAGCATGCATCTCTAATATTTTTTTCTGATATTTTTTATTGAATGAAAATTAGTTATCCAATAATTGAAATGTTTACTAACTATCTCTCTTTATTAAGTGATTGTCCTGTAGAAATTTTTCACAGTATTGTTCGACAATGCACTTCTAAGTTTTTCATAGCTGAACAGTTGCAATCGGAAGCACGTTTTATTTTTCAACGCCGGGAAGATAATGAGTTTCGACAACAGTTTGTGAATTCTGTGAAATATCCATATACACTGAAACAATTGGACATGCTTTCTAAAAAATGCACCAAATTACTTTTAGATAAATTTACTAGAATATATCAAACACGGAATCAGTATCCTTTGATTATTGAATCTTCGTCTGACGGTATTAACACATACAAGCTTTTTTCTTTAGGTTATGAAATAACCAACCATCATCTTCCAAGGGGCTTTGTTACCTCCAGAAAACTCAATACTGCCATCTTATGTGATTACATGAATTGCAACAGCAATTCATCTGATGGCAGTATTTTGGCATGCAGCCACGGCTATCATAGCCTTTGCTTGCAAGATAGTCAGTTTAAGTGCTTCATCAGAAAATTTTTTATATAGATATATATCGATATATAGCAAAAAATCGATATATATCGATAAGATAAAAATAGCATTTATCGATAATTTAGGATATATAATGATATATTACCAAAAATCGATATTTACCGGTAAGAGGTATATATCGATAAATATCTAATCATTGATATATATCGATTTTATTTATATCAATAGTAATCGTGTAATAGATATATATCGATAGTTGTATTATCTATTTATAT